AAATTAGAAGCAGCTCGCTCAGCTTTAAATCAATTACTAACAAAACAACAAGCAGAATCAACCATTTTCTTTGCTAAACACAGATTATATCAGTCAGGGAACAAACCGGGATGGCTACTAACAAGGCTGACAAAAGGCAGAATGGAAGCAAACACAATTCCATCATTACAAGACGACAACCGGGACAGACATCATAAAACGACAAATATCAATAGGGTTATGAGGGAATTCTATCAAAAACTGTATTCATCTGAATGCAATTCATCTGATGTTAAAATAACGGAATTCTTAAGTGGTGTGACTCTCCCTCGCCTGACAGAGGAACAACAAGAAGTCTTAGGTGCTCCAATCTCTCTGATAGAAGTCAGAGAGTCCATTGCCTCCCTTAAGGGTGGAAAAGCTCCTGGACCTGATGGTTTCTGTCCAGAATTCTATAAGAAACTAAGCCACCTGGTGGTAGGACCACTTACTGAAATGTTTGTGCACTCGTTTGGGCATGGAGGCTTGCCACCAACTCGTAACCTGGCGAACATCAACCTTATCCTCAAAAAAGATAAACCACCAGACATCTGTGGCTCATATAGACCTATTAGTCTTATCGGGGTAGATAGTAAGCTGCTCTCTAAATTGCTTGCAACGAGACTGGAGAAGCTGCTGACTTTCTTAACAAACCCAGATCAGACTGGGTTCATACAAAATCGTTTCTCCTTCACAAATATGAGGAGATTACTTAACGTAATTCAGTACTCAAGCCAAACGAACTGTAGAGGATTTGCGTGACAGGATTGCGTGGAAGTACTTATTTAATGTTTTGGAGAGATTCGGGATAGGGGGTGACTTTCTGAAATGGATTAAGATACTTTACAGTTCCCCATCAGCCTGTGTCATGACTAATGGTGTTCAATCTCCATCTTTTACAATACATAGGGGAACCTGACAGGGTTGCCCTCTATCCCCACTTCTGTTCGCTCTTGCGCTGGAGCCCCTAGCAGCGGTTATAAGATCACAACAAAATGTGCATGGTGTGATGATTGGCGGTAAAATCCATAAAATAGCGTTATATGCAGACAATATTCTCTTATTTGTAACAAAACCTGACATCTCAATACCAGCTATCTTATCCACTATTCATGAGTTTGGTTCCTTTTCAGGTTATTTTTAAAGGTTATTTTGTTTGTTTTTAAATTGTAAGTTGTTTTTTTTTATTGTTATGTTGTGTTTTAAAGTGCTTTATAAATAAAGTAGAGGACTGTATGGTGAAAATAAACAGACACTATTTCCAGATAAAAGGTAAAATAATATTGTTGAAGTGCCATGGGTTTGTTGAGACCATATTGAGTACTGAGAATAAATATATCTTACAGACCATAATAGTAAAGAACTTATCACTTATTTATGTTTTTAATTAGATTTGATATATTTATTTCTTCAATATTATTTTTCATGTCAATGTTAATGTCATGAGGCTGATGACTCCATGACACTTTCAATTTGACTCATTAGGATTTGATTAAGAACCATATTTGTTCTTTGTAATTTCTGTCCAGTAAAACTATTAATCTATAATCAATAGACAGGTCTATATAAAGATATAATCCATGTTTCTGTCTCATATTTGTATGGCATTAAA